AAATCAACGGTTTTCGAGTTATTTAAGAAACAAAATTTAAAATGGCCGCCATTTTGTTTTATGAATTTCAAAAATCGTCATAATTTTTTGGTAGCTTTGTCTAGTTGTCATAAATGTTTGTGCAAAGTTTCAATTTCGTATTTTTTACCATTCCCTAGAAAAAAATTAATAACTTAAAAAAACAAAATGGCGGCTGTGTGAGTAACTAAGGACTTCCGGACAATTTAAATATGATATTTAGGTATGTTAATTACCCAGGAACAATGCCCTAAAATATTGGTAGAGAGTTCCGGGACACCCTGTAGATCATTGACACTTGTACAAATGGAATTGTTGTTTGTATCAGAAATGTTTGTAACATGAGGGTATCAAAACTCATGATGAATGATATTAGTTTATCAGTCCTACGATATGTATAATAAACAGGACTGTTAATAAAAATGATAGTCTTAGAAATAAGTTGGTGAAATTTTATGAACTCATCATTCCTTGGTTTTTAGACAGAATAATTTAGGAGAACATGAAAAGAATAAATAGCTTTATGTAACTATGGAGTATGTTCAGGGTTACTAGAACTAATTATTTCGAACATTTAATGGTAATAACATACTTTTACCTGACATGCAATCAATATTAGAGTTGGCTAAAAATATGCAATGTTAAAGTTGGTCGATTTATCACACCTAAGTGGACTGGAAACACATCATCGATCAAGGGACACTGTTTAATGTGTTATGTTGGTATTCCTTGCTAGCTGGTTAAGTTGATGTGCATCGAAAATCGTGCCTCGGAATGGACTTCGTAGTAAGGAAAAGACTTTCCCCAACGTCCTAAACACGAGATTAAACAAATTAATTTCTCTTAAATTGTGTTTATTGTGTTTTCATCCTTAATAAATATAGAGTTTCAATTCACCAAATTTAAATTTAATTGAACAATCCTTTATTGCTCAATATACATAGTTTTAGTTATTGTAATAGTAACAATCACAATAGAAGAAAAAATATTTAATTCTTATGTCTTATAAAAGCATGATGCATTGTTTAAAACACAATAACTAAACTATAACTAGCAATGAAAAACACTATGCCCTTCATATTTGAGTAGTAAATATTTTATTAGTATCATTATGGTCAAGTATGTAGTTACATATCAACTTATTGAATTGGTTCTTGTTTTTACTCTCTTTAATATAGCTTGGAAGTAGATTATAAAACGTTGGTGATAATTAGAAAAAATATTTTTTTAAAGGATAAATTTGGTAGCGGAACATACATTCTACCCACATTCCTTAACGGGATACAGCTCTAGTTCATTATGTTTATATCGCATTTATTAAAGAATATTCTTAAAACCTTAAAAACGTATAAGTTCTAAAGGTCAAAATATTAAAACGTTGGAAAAGAGGGAGAGAAGGTTTAGTTTTTGTTTCATTTAATATTGTTACAAGTCAGGAGCCCCGCGCAACAATAGCCAGGCGCCGTCTCTAAATAGTCCAGTCAATGAATGATCCAAAAGTAGGTGTAGAGTGCGTGAGCAGGTAACTAAGCGATTCCTTCAGAAACTTGTTCAGGGGGCTTAGGGTGTTAACATACCAAAAGTCCTGACTCCTAGGTGGTGAGCCAGGGGGTGGAGGGGGGGAAAAGGGGGGGAAAAAGGTACGCATTTTGGGTTTTTTGATTATATCTCGAAAACTATCAACTTTTTGTATACTATAGTAAATTATAAAATTGAAGAAGATTAAATTTTCTACAAGAAAAGTATATAATGTGTTTATTTTGGTTCAACAGATTACGAGTTATAACATATTTAATTGATATCTTATTAAAATACTCCTTCCATAAGAAATACATGTAAATTAGTATGCGAAATGGGGCGAATCCTATCCGCCCAAAGGAAATATAACTGATATTCTGGAAATCTTTACCAAATTTCCAGTAATTTGACACTTAAATCATGAAATTTTGTCAAAAATTAAAGCGAGGGTGAGCGTTTCAAAATGGGATGATTTAAGGTTTTTTTTTATATTTCCAATAAAAAAACACCAAAACTCGACATTTTGTTACCTTGCCCTCGCCTTAATTTTGGATCAATTTTAATGATTAAAGTGTCAAATTACTGGAAATTTTGTCAAGATTTCCAGAATATCATTTGTATTTCCTTTGGGCGGATAGGATTCGCCCCATTTCGCATACTAATTTACATGTATTTCTTATGGAAGGAGTATTTTAATAAGATATCAATTAAATAAGTTATAACTCGTAATCTGTTGAACCAAAATAAACACATTATGTACTTTTCTTGTAGAAAATTTAATCTTCTTCAATTTTATAATTTACTATAGTATACAAAAAGTTGATAGTTTTCGAGATATAATCAAAAAACCCAAAATGCGTACCTTTCTCCCCCCCCTTTTTCCCCCCTCCACCCCCTGGCTCACCACCTAGGAGTCAGGACTTTTGGTATGTTAACACCCTAAGCCCCCTGAACAAGTTTCTGAAGGAATCGCTTAGTTACCTGCTCACGCACTCTACACCTCATTCCTCGACTGGACTAAAAGGGTTGTTTGTTTACACGGTTCTCCGAACGCGCCAGTGATAGACAATAGACCCATGTCAACGGACTACGTCAATAGGGGGTTTGACATCTCCAGAAGCTTCCACGGCGATCTGTAAACACCTTTGTCTAGCCTACGAGTAGTCTCTAGAATGTTCTACGGAAAGCTTATATAAGGGACCGTCTTCCGGCACACGGCAGTTGAGTTGAGTCGAGCCTTCCGAGAATCGTCCTAGCAAGCGCCCGTCGGTGTGAGTGACCAGTGCTAGTGGCAGTGACAGTGCTAGTGACAGTGAGAGTAACAGTGTAGTGACACTAGTGACAGTGTAGTGACAGAGTAGTGATAAATCCTGTAAAGGTTAGCTGTAAGTAGAATCTTTGTAAATTAGAATAGGCTTTAGCTAGGTTAGATAGGGTTAGTTAGGTGTTAGGTAACTGTAATATCTGTAAATATAGAATAATTATTGTAAATAAATAGTTATAATAAAATCGCCAAGTTTTTATTGTAAAGAACCTGTTAAGCCCGTAACAATATTATTCTGACAAAGAATTTTGTAGTGTGATTATTGGTTTTAATGTTGTAAAATATGCACAACCTTAGATCTTAATCCAATTTAATTTTTAGTAAAAACAATTTTAGAGTATAAAAATTTTTTATATACATTTTTTTAATACCTTCTCTAACTATGTGCTTGTTTTTGTTTCCAATTACGAACTATCCGAACGAAGATTAGATGTATGGATTTAATTAACGTTTTTGGGCAAGACAAAATCCGCTCTTTTCTAAAATAAATATATGTTGTCATACAGGAATTTACTGAATTGAATGTCGTGTGTCTTGCTTGAAAAAATCTAATGTTATAGAATAATGAGTTATTTTAAATATAAATATTTGAATATTTATTTATTTAATTGGAAAATCAAATTCGGATAGCTAATTTTTACCGAACCTTTTTTTCAATGGCCAATTTCATATTATTGATCATTATTTTAACTTCTCAAACTAGCCTTGCATTAATTCAGAAGTAATTGAATTTAGGCAAAATAACACTCAGGTATATGTCCTTATAAACAACAAATATATTTTAAAATTAAAATGTCAGCCTGATAGAATATAGTTTAGTTTGCCTTGGATGGAAGTGTTGTTTGATCGGAGAAGTTTAAATTATTCCCGGGGTTGTGCGGGGAGTGGTTGGGAGGGGAGGGCGCAAGCTGATTGGCTGAACGCAACAGGTGTGGTTGCTAGGCAACGAGATATCTCAGCTGATATCTAAACCCTTGGTGATAACAGCTTATCGAACTGGGCTTAAAGGCTGCGAGAATGCTAGTGTACACGTGTACACTAACTTTAGAACTATGCGTTATTGCTGACAATGGCGGCGATTAGAATTGAGAGGTGGGGGGGGGGAGTTTGAATCTAAATATATTGTTGATACTGCGTTCTTTACCTACTTCTTTTAAAAATCTTAGTTTATATGTTTCATCCTCAATAATACTAGGTAAGGCCCTCAATAAAATAGTCTGCTTTGTTTTCCAGCCTCATTTTAAACCTACTTCTTTAGAAAAGTGTTAAATGTCTAGGTTTACGCCTAGCAAATATGTTTACACATTCTTCAAGTTTTATGTTGTTGGGGGTCTCTTTTTCTATATCCAGTATGGCTAAATAAGATAAACGGTCATGGAGCTTTGAATTTCTTAAATAGTTTTTGATCCGTTTTAAGACACTGAAAGGCCGTTCAGCTGTTCCAGTAGACACTGAGACAGTAAAATCTATTGTAGAAGCTTAGATTAGGAAAAATTAACCGATTGTGAACGTTTTCGGACTTAAATTTTCGTACCAAATTTGACACAAGCTCTTTAGGTTGGTCTGATTTAGGGGTTTTTTAAAACACATGAATTTCAGAGGCATAAGTGATACTCACAGCAGAGCATGCTTCGCTGATACGAGAGTCACAAGCTGTTTTCTTCATAGAAGAAGCCAGTAAAAGTTCAATATACAGTATAAAAAAAGGCCTATGTTATAGTTTGATAAACATTTCCCAGGTGTGTACACTAAAAAAAAAGTAATTTACGTGTGTTTAGTTTAGCATAGTGATACATTGAAAGCAGGTCCCCAAAAAACAAGTGTTATTCACTTAGAGGGTTAGGATTCAGTAAAAACTGCTTATATTAAAATAAAAAAGTAGGTACATTGTTATCTGTGATAGAAATTTTTAATACAACGGCTCATCTGCAGAAGCATACTTGCTGATAATCTCTACGTTGTTTTATTTAATCTTAGAAATCTCTTCACATTCATATCAGTATTTTGGGAACTGAACTTACAGGAAGCAGGCATAATTAGACTTAAACTTTACTTGGTCATCTTTGTCTATAAGTAATTATGTTTCGTGTTGTAATGTGAATAATGGGATAATTTCTACATCAGGAAATAGTAATCTAACCTTGTGTTAGAGCCTCATCTTGTCCGTAGTTAGGATCTATCCTCGAGCACCTCTGCCGCATACCTGCGAAACATTATGTTTTAAACATTAAACATGTTCAAGTTATATCAAGACCATGTAATTTAGATTTTTTTTTAATTCCCGTTTACCCATGTAGTAAGTAGAAAACATAACTAAACATGGCAAGATGTATTACCCATGATGAAAACCTACAACAGTGTTTCGGCTAAAATTTTAAAGTTGTATCTATATAAATAAAATTAGAGTTTTGTCTGTACATTGCTCAGAATTATATATTTTTAGGTTATTTTTACGTTTTATACATTAAAGAAGCAGAAACAAGTCTTATCTCTATTTCTGTCTGTCTGTCTGTCTGTCTGTCTTTCTGTCTTTCTGTAACACTCAAGATGGCATTTTACGCAATCTTCTCCATGAAAACGAGAGTACCTATTAAGATCCAAGTCATTTTAATGTATTCACTGGATTGGCGAGAGTGTCTTTAGCCATTTAAACATGGCCTCACTACTTTGTAAATAAAATTACGGCCTTTCAAAAATGCATTTTTGTGAGATTTTGCCAAGTTTTCGATCAATTTTTATCACATAATCATTTATGAAATAACGAACAGCTGTTCAGATCAAGATTATTTTTTCTAGCTGTCACTGATATGTTTACAAATGTTGTTTACAAATACCGCAATCATTTCCGATCACGTTTTGAAAGCAAATCCCAAACAAAGTGAGATTAAAAACGTTTTTCTTACATAACGGATTTAATTAATCGCAAGTGCAATATTATAGTGTAACCGTAAATGAAATTAAATAACTAGGCATCATCCAGGTCAGGAACCAGAGATTATTTGTGTATGAAATTGTTCTTGAGTTTTGATAACCAGAAAGAAGACCTTGAATCAGTGTTGTATAGGACTGGGGCACTTATAACGATCGTCGCCAATAGCTTACAAACAAGGTTTCCACTCACTGACGGCGCTTCAATGGCGATTGTGTAAAGTGTAAAGTAAAAAACCACAACTGCAGTGGGTGATTGTAAGTAATAGAGGTATACGGATGATGCTAAACTCGCTTTTCCAATGTGTCACTTTCTGTTTCTACTCACCGTGTGATGCAATCGCTGGACCATACAGCCAATAGGCTCATAGCCCATCTCTTGGGTACGTACGCCTACCTATTTATTCATAACAACCTTTTCGATGACGATCCTTGATACCGGCACTTTTCCATGGAATACATGGCCTACCTACTTAAGAAATAAAGTTACAAATGTCCAAAAACCCAACACATTTTGTGATTTTTGTCACATTCAACTGACTACTATAAGATCCCCGTGCGTAGAACGGGCACACAGCTAGTTTTATGATAATTCCACAAACCCGATCAACATTATGTGGATTTTTTTTTCAAATTCGTTATGTTGGTTCTGAAATTTTTTTATTGTTAAATGGACTTTTCCAACGTTTCCACCTCCAGAAATGTCGTGCATTTTTAAACTCTAGAAACATTGGAAAAGTCCGATTAATAATTAGTAAAATGCAATGGATGTTGATGAGAAAAGAAAGGCAGGCAGGAACAAACTTTTACTCCCTGCAATGTATAAGAAAAAGATTTTTACGCACGCGTAATTGAACAGGCTGTGTCTCAAAATTTGTAGACGTTTTACATGTTATGGTTTGAAAATCAATAGAAGTCAAATGCAAATTCTAACGGTTTTAACATAAAAGACACCAACGACTTCACTTCCTCAACAAAGAGGTAGACTATTAACATGTTATCAGGGGCATGATTTTCAAGTGTTAGTTAACAGTAGTTTTTAATATTATAAATGTTTTACAAATAATTAATTATCACAAGATCATCATCGTAAAGCACACCATACTGATTGTTACACTTCATAGAATTCACGCGATATGTGTTCGTGTTCGTATCTGTGTTAGTGTAAACAACTTTCAATCCTGGAATCCTGTGAAGTATCTTTATGTTGTTGTAGCCTTGTATTCACCTGATGATAACATTAATAGGTCGAAACTAGATGTGAATCAGTCAACAATTGAATTGGCAGAATTAGATATTTAAACTACTATTATTATTATTCGCAATCTGGAGGCTATTCGTACTACAATGAAAAAAAAATTCTAAACATAAATTATGTTTAGATGTTGATCATACACTTATGAAACTTTCAACCAAGTTATTCAAGTCACCATAGAAACGAATCATTGCAAAGTCAAATTGAAAATCTACAAATTTTGAAACAAAATTAAAAGGTCAGTAAAAAAATGGACCCTAATAATGGAAAACGAGGTTTGAAACGAAAACGTTCACCAAAAAGATCTGACAGTGAAGGGCTTGAAAAAATGGCGAGACTGAAGATAGAAGAAGCTATGACTGAAGCTGTGATTCAACACTGCCCAGCTTGCAAGACACCAATTCTAAAGACCGAAGGGTGCGACAGTGTGACGTGTCCGTGCGGGGAGACGTTCTGCTACAGATGCGGTCAGGAGGTGCTGGACTGTCATTACTGCCGTATTGCTTGTAAAAATACTACATATCGAGCCGCAGGCTTGGCCATGAGAAGACTACGACGACTTTACCCAACAATTAAATTCTCCGAATGTTTATCTTTGTTCCGAAATACTAAATAAATCACAAAAATAATATGACTCTGAGTGACATGATTATAATAAGAGTTACTGTATAAGTTAATTCAATTTGTATTTAGGCCTGATATGATTTTAAAATCTCACGGTTTTGCAAATTCACTAAAAAAACAAACAGCAAAACATTTACAAAAGTAACGCTATAACATTCAAAGCCTGCGTTCCACCATGGACAAACCGTATACAGATGTGACAATGATTGTTAAGAAAAGATAATGACATAGTAAATTATAACCAAAGTTCAAAGAGAAGTCGTAAGCAGTGAATTTTAGATTAACTATATACATTATTGCTGTACCCGCGGGCTTTGCCCCGTTTAACTTCATAGGTGAGCTCGTTCGCATGACTCAATTACGTCCTGGCTGAAGTTTGTTCGCTACGCTCACTCACCTTTAGGTTGGAGCTCGTTCGCATGGCTCAATTACGTCCTGGCTGAAGTTTGTTCGCAACGCTCACTCACCTTTAGGTTGGAGCTCGTTCGCTGCGCTCACTTGTCAGTCAGTGAGGGCTTTGTCTTTTATATATAGATTTTTACAATGCACCTTATACCTTATACTGATTACTTTTGAATGGATTCATCCATACAAGAAGACAATTCAATCCCTTTTCGTGCGAAATCACTCGTACGCACGATGTCTTTGATTCAATGAGTTTATTGTACAAATAATGAAGCCTTCCACACACTTTTTAGTTCGAATAGTCTAACACCTTTTCAGGGTTCGGAAGGTTAGAGCATAGACTAAGGTCTCCAGTCTAAGGTTAGAGCATGCTACTTCAGGTCTAGACGCCCGGCTTCAAATCCCGCCAATCACATTCAAATATGAAATTCGCTGGTTCCGAGATCGATGCTAGACCCAGAGATCTTTTTCAGTGAGCTTTTAAATAATTATCATATCCTAGAAATTTAAACGTTTGGTAGTATTAAGACCAAGGTTTTAACATTTCCATTTCCATTTTTTTTAGGTCGATGGCATCTTTTAACCTTACATTTGCCCGTCCACATAGACCACAGACCTATACGTGGAACGTATCCAGCAAAGCAAGGGGCGAGCCGGAACGGTACGAAGGTGAACAGCACTGATAAAATGTTTGCGGCAGTGACCAGGATCCTTAACCCACGACATCGCTGCCTTGGGCCCGAAGTCGCTACCAACTGAGCTACCGACTCACCTTCAGTACAGAGACGTACACAATCAAGAACAAACTAAACTAAGAAAATACTAAACAATGGTTTTTCTCTATGTGATAACCCCATATGAATGAAACTAAAAATGGCGTTACATTTAATGAATCTATAAAAAGTTACTCAGGCAGAGTAAAACTTGTAAGAAGAATATCCCTGATAATTGTTAACTAATTGTGAATTTGTTCACATTTAACATTGCTTCTTATTAGCCCCTCGCCAGTAAGTCGTCTAAATTCAAATAGAAATCGCCAGTTTTATTATCCCAACGGTTTCCTTGGCAACACTAGCCCCAGGGAGTTAGAGATGAAGTTAAGCCGAAACCAAACTTTATTGCGGACAAATATTAAGGTTCCAGATTAGCCCACCACTTATAACGATTGTTTGAACAGTTGAAGATTAAATTGAAGTCTTGCACGACAGACTTGGTAGAAGAAGAATGTTATATCAAATATTATATTTACGAAATTAATTAGGAATGCGATAGCTTCAACATTTCAAAAGGTATGTCAAAACACGTATGAACATTGAAAACTGTTTCCGGTAATACAAGCACTCTATCGAAACCTTTATCTTACTAGTTTCAGGACCTGATAGTATCTCGGTAGAACAGTTGTAGCTGCGTGAGGTATAAGGGAAGCAGAGAATGATCAATGAACAACTGATAAGCCCTGATAACAACCTGCTCACGCTATCAGAGCTTCTGTATTGATTACACCTTCGATAGTGTCAGGACCTGATAGTATCTCTGTAGAACAGTTGTAGCTGCGTGAGGTATAAGGGAATCAGAGAATGATCAATGAGCAACTGATAAGCCCTGATAACAACCTGATCACGCTATCAGAGCTTCTGTATTGATTACACCTTCGATACTGTCAGGACCTGATAGTATCTCTGTAGAACAGTTGTAGCTGCGTGAGGTATAAGGGAAGCAGAGAATGATCAATGAGCAACTGATAAGCCCTGATAACAACCTGCTCACGCTATCAGAGCTTCTGTATTGATTACACCTTCGATACTGTCAGGACCTGATAGTATCTCTGTAGAACAGTTGTAGCTGTGTGAGGTATAAGGGAAGCAGAGAATGATCAATGAGCAGCTGATAAGCCCTGATAACAACCTGCTCACGCTATCAGAGCTGCTGTATTGATTACACTTTCGATACTGTCAGGACCTGATAGTATCTCGGTAGAACAGTTGTAG